GGTGTGGTGTGGTGCACCCTCGGAGGAAGGTGGAAAAGGAGACGAGGTAGTGTGGGCGAGTAGTCCCGAATTGATGCCAAATCCTACTGAGCGGTAGCAGGTTGATGCGCACTGACAGATGCAAATCTGGTATGGCAGAGCAAGAGGGATAGACACAGAGAGACAGAGAGAAAGAGACAAATGAAAGAGTCTAATCGAGGTCGGCCTGACGAAGAGGAAAGGCGTGAATTACGTTGCCCCAATGCAACCGGCACATGAACCAACCGCCTCGGAGGCGAAACCATCTCGAAAGAAGACAAAGATTGCCAGTCAAAAGGCCAATTGTAGACACAGTCGGAAGAACGCCTGCTCGCCCGTCTGTCTATCACTGTTGTTCAATCAGTCAGTCAGTCTGTCAGTCTGTCAGTTTGTCAGTGTCAGTGTGTCAATGTATCACTGTTATTCAATTACACGGTCACACGATCAAATGGCAAGCCAATCAAAAGAGCAGACAGGCCGCCAGAGCCAGCAAGTCGGCTGAGAAAACAGTCGGTCTGGGAGTCTAGCAGCACAACAAGCGGTAACTCATTGAGGAAATAAGTCAATCAGCAAATGTCATTTAGTCAGTCAGACAATCTGTCATTTAATCAGTCAGACAATCTGTCATTTCTATTCGTTCATTCATCCATTCTCTCATCTATTCAGTTAATCAGTCGATCAGTAAGTCAACGAGTTAATCAAACAGTCAGATACTAAGTCATTTATTTAATCAATCAGTTCGTCGCTTAATTATCCAATTATTAGAATAATCAGCTAATCAATCAATCAATTAATCAACCAGTCAGTCAGACAATCTGCGAGAAGTATGAAGAGACGCTGGATTTCGAAGACTCCCTTAGTAGGCCGATATTGACATACCTTTCATTTCATCTGAGAAGGCGGGTGGGAGGGATACGTAGATTAGCCGCATCGGATACCGAAGGAGGGTTGGAGGGACCTTTTCTGTTGAATCGTGCGAAGAAGACCTCGGATCACCGTCCTGCTGCGTGCTGAGCTTCTGTTCGCCAGAGCCAGAAGCAATTATTCACCAACACTCAGCAAAAAACGCCAAGTCGTCGGGGTCGTAGAACGATGATCCGAGATGTTCTTCGAGTAATTTAGCACTCTCTTACGGTATCCGATGCGGCGAATCTACAAATCCCCTCGACAAGCCTTCTCAAACGAAATGAATGGTATGTCTGACAATCAGTAATTTAAAGTCAATCATCTATTCAACCAGTCAGTCATTCAATCAGTCAATCAAACATTCACCCAGTCATTGAGTCACTTTGTTACTCAGCCACTCAAACAGTCAGTTATGTGAGATGGCAGTCTCGAAACTCTACTTTTATAGGAAAGTCAATCAGTCAATCAATTGCCCAAGGAAATTCCACAAATTCGTCTTCTTTTCATATCATAATTATGGAGTAATTGTGAGAGTAATGAAATGCATGCAAATAAGGAGCCGGGATCAGGTGATGTGATGATTACGAACAATTGTGCTTCAGAAGTAATCGACAAGTGATGAAAGAGTGAATGAAATAAATGTTTATTTGAGACGAAACAAAAGAGGAGCCCTGATGTTAGTAGCCTGTAGGACGAAAAAAGAGCATAACAACTGGCATTGGGTGAGCAGGACGTGTCGGTATGGTGACCTGTGCGAGGAGAGGCAAGCATTCACCAAGTGGGACATGCGAGGAATGCGTACACAGAATTCTCCCATCAGGACATCATCACAAGGCGTCGTCATCATGTGGAGGCGTGTATTTGGAAGGGACCTGAAGATGCCGAGTACACGCGAGGCTGTCGAAAGACAAACAAACCAGAAAAGCCTTGTGGCTCCAAGAAGACGAGGTGGCTGAAGACAAGAGACCAAAAAAACTGGTCCCAAACCAAACGCATTGGAGGATGTGGAGATTATGCACAGACAAAGTGGTCAACGTCATGAAGAGAATGAATGCGAGTAGGAAAGGAAGCGGTACATAGGATTAGGGAAAGGAAGAGAATGATATCGAGACCGAGAGGGAAGCAGAGAGCAGGAGAATAAAAAGTAGCTGGGAACAAGACGAGTCGGGACGCAAAAACAACACCTGACAAGACGAGAAGAGCGTCGCATGTCCGGAGAACTCGTGAAATGCAAGACAATTACAAACATCATCACTATCATCACTATCATCACTATCAAAAGTAATGATGGTCGGGCTAGTATCCACACATCTTGCTCAGCTTCACTTGGCTACAAACATGTAGGAAACGCATGAAATAGCCAACCGAATGAAGGCGAGAATGAGACTACGGGATGCGGATAGAATGGCAGCCGGCCACTCGTGTTGGCTTCGTCAATTGTCTGTTTGATGAGCATGTTTTGCAGCGCAGACGACGTCTGCTGAAAGACACAAGCTCACAGATGCTGACCACGAAGGCATCGAGATGACGAGCCGATGCGCTGAAGACTCGTTCGCACAAAGACACTCTCAAAGGCCCGAGACCAACTAAGCTGGGATTCCGGTGAAGGCATGTAAGAAATTGAGTAAACTAGAAATGCAAACCAATTGCAACAAGTGGATGGTAAAACAAACCATTCAGTCATTCAGTCAATTAATCCGCCTGTCAACTAGTCAATTAATCATTCAGCCATTCAACCAATCAGTCCGCCAACCAATTAGCCACTCGGACAGTGAGTCACACAGGCCACTAGTCAGTCCGCTGACAGTCAAACAGCCGCACAGTCATTCGGCCAAACAGAAAGTCTGTCAGTAGGCCCCAAAACAATTAAGCACTAAGTCTGCCAGTCTGTCTGTGTGTCTGTGTGTCTGTCAGCCAATCAGGCAGCCATTTAGTGTCAGTCAGTCCTTCACATGGTCCGTCATTCAATGAGTCAGCCAGCCAGTCATTCAGTCAATTAATTAGACTATCAGTCAGTCAATCACTAATTCAATTACACAGCCACTCGGTCCGTTATTTGATGAGTCAACTAGCCAGTCAGTCAATCAGTAAGAAATGAGAAATTTAGTCAACAAATCGCTTAGCATTTTAACGAATCAACGGATCAATCAGGCTCATAGTCAGCCAGTTATGCTGATAAAAAGAGAACCGGCCTCGAAACCCGATTATGATGAGAATTAGGCAATCATTCAGTCGGTCAGCTGTGAGGAAAAAGTGGGTTTCGAGCAATTCATGAATGCTTTTGTGATCGCCTTTTCCATTCAAAAGAAAACTTTGCTCGAAATGATTCGCGAATGGACCGCATTGGAAACATGAGGATTGACCTCGAGTGAAAATTACTCGATTGTGCCAACAAGCCCTCGGTTCGCTATCCTACAACTCCAAAGGGCCCCTAATGAATGAGCGAAAATGCATACCTTAACAAAAATGTACCAACATACCAAGCCACGGGAAAATGGTAGCCAGCTGTAAACCCGCTAACTTCATACATCCAATTTTGGGATATTAATGAAGTTGTTCACATCACACTTGCAGATATAGTGAAGTTGATTCGTGTAAAAGATAGAGAATCTGGTCACACCTGCTTCTTTAAATAAATAAACCGGCTGTTGACGAATGTTTTGTGCATACATTGTTCCATTCATGTGAAGTGAAAGCTCTAACCAGACTCCAGGCCAATCAGGTTCCCTCTTCCGTGTCTTCCAACCCCTTCTCACACTCCTTAAGCCTATCAAATAACCATAAATAGTTCATAGTCAATTTCCTAAACTTATTCCACCTATTCAGTATGTTGGCTGTTTTCTTTATCTCTATACGCTGTCA